GTTGTCTCTTTACTCTCTTAACGGTGTCTTTTTCTGTGCAAAAACTTTCTAGATTAATAAGATCCTACTTGTCGATCTTAGCTCTTGCTGTATTTGCTTTTGAGAACTTGGTCATTAATTCATCACTTACTCCAATATCCAGGAAGGTGTTTCTTAAGTTTTCTTTGAAGATTCTTATAGTTTGAGGTTTCACCTTTAAGTCCTGGTTCCATTTTGAGTTAATTTTTATATATGGTGATAAGTAGGGGTCCAATTTCATTCTTCTGCATGTGGTTCTTCAGTTTTCCCAGCACCATTTCATAAATATGGTATCCTTTCCCCAATGTTTGTTTTTGTTGGCTTTGTTGAAAAGTACATGAACAGATACTTATCAAAGGAAGACACTAAAGCAGCTAACAAACATATGAAAAAATGTTCAGTCGCACTAACCATCAGAGAAATGGAAATCAAAACTACAATGAGATACCATCTAACACTGGTGAGTATGGCTATCGTTAAAAAGTGAAAAAAAAAAAAAAGCAACAAGTATTGATTGGTGTGACTGCAGAGAAAATGAAACACTTCTACACTGTTGGTGGGAATGTAAACTAGTTCAACCTTTGTGGAAAGCAGTGTGGTGTTTTCTGAAATAACTAAAAGTTGAGCTTCCATATGATCCAGTGATTCCACCTCTGGGAATATACCCAGAGCGACATAATTGCTCTACCAAAAAGACACCTACACAAGTATGTTCCCTACAGCACTATTCACAACAGCAAAAATGTGGAACCCAGATGCCCATTGAAAGTGGACTGAGCGGGGCTCGGTGGCTCAGTCTGTAATCCCGGGCCTTTGGGAGGCTGAGGTGAGTGGATTGCCTGAGCCCGCGGGTTCGAGACCCGCCTGGGCAACTTGGCAAAGACTCATCTCTACAATAAATCAAAAAAAAAAAAAAAAAAAATAGCCAGGCGTGGTAGCGCGCACCTGTAGTTCCAGCTACTTGGAAGGCTGAGGCGGAAGGATGGCCGGAGCCCAGCAGGTTGAGGCTGCGGTGGCCTGGAGCGGCCACTGCACTCCAGTCTGGGCGACAGAGTGAGACTCCAACATAAAAAAAAAAAAAAAGAAAGTGGACTGGTTAAGAGATTGTGATACCTGTACACAATGGTATATTATACAACCATAAAGAAGAACAAAATCATGTCTTTTGCAACAACGTGGATGTAACCGGAGAACTTCATTGTAAATGAACTATCATAGAAACAAAAATATGAATATTGCATATTCTCGTTCATAAGGAGACCCTGATCACTGGCCATATGAGCACAAAGGTAGGAACAACAGGCACTGGAAATTGCTAAAGGAGGGAAGGAAGGAGTAGGAGCAAGGGACCCACAACCACACACTGAACACCAGGTCCACTATCAGGGGAAGAGAAAGCCTGCTAGAAGCCCAAACATCAACTGCACACAATTTACTTATGTAGTAAATCCTCACATGTACCTAACAACTCTAAAATTTAAAAAAAGGAAAAAAAATTATTGAGAATGAAATAATGCTGAGTTTTAGTATCACTGTATTAGTAGTCAAGTCATTGATGAGATAACCATACAAATGGAATGCAAACTGTTTGTGATACTTTACCTTAAAGTCAATATCAAACTAAACAGAATTTTAATGACTTCATAGTATTCATTTACATTTCTAATATTTAAATTACTATTCCTCTACATCCCTTCTTTTAATTATTCATAAGTTAATTTATAAATCACTCATTTTTAAAATTCTACAATGAAAAAGAAAACAAATTCTTCACCCTGATTTGCATTGCTTTGTAATCATCCATATCATAATGTAACAAAGTTGCCTTTTGTGACTAAAATACTACAATAAGTACCCATTTATTTATTCAAAGACGTTAACACATGGTACATTTTTGTGCAACAAAATTATTTACTGATATATTCCTGGCTTCTTGAAATATTGAAAAAGAAACACTTGCAAATTTCTCCTGTATTTTTTTTTTTTTTTATCATGGATTTAGTCTGCTCAAAGTCCTTAAAGAGAGACGACTTTAAAACAAAAACTTGTTTGCCATTCTGTGTAAATTAGTTTTAAATTCCTTTTTAAATGACCCTAAATATTGATTTGTAAAGGCTTTGGTTTTTCAATGGCATAATTTTCTTTTTTTGGAAGCCTCAATTTAATCACAAAAGAATGTAAAATTGTTTATCTCACATTATAAGAATCTTATTTTTAATAAAAACGGTGCCAATATCCAATGTTTCACTTACATTGGTTCTAAAACAAAGACAGTCATGCCATACAATATTAGCAGTTATGTCTTTTGCTACAGTTTCCCTAAAGCACTAAATATCTTTTTAAATTAGATAAACTAAACTGTGAAGATCACACATTTTTGTGATGAATTTAGTGAGAAGACTGATTTTTTTTTTCCATTGGGAAATATTTTTAAATTGCTTGTGACTTTTGAGGGTGCAAGTACTTGGAGTTAGTTTTTAAAAATTTTATAGGAATTATATCCTCAGTACTACTACTTTGGGTTAATCAAGTCTTTCTTTTCTCATATTAACAATGGTAGTTAGCTTATTTCTAAATACTGACCATGAATTCTCTGAAACCTAGTGTGAATCAATAACTCTCTTGAGGCTTCAAGGAGACATTTTATAGGTTACACTTCCTGGGTAGTAGCTACACCCTAAAATGTGCAAAAATTAATTCATTTCAGATGAGCAAGCATTAGTATTTCAGGGATTGCTGTGATCATATGGTTCAACATAGGAGAAAGACTTTGTGAAATATTATTGACCTTGAAGCAACATTCCATTAGCTTATAAAAAGTGTTACTCCACAAATAGACTGTTTGGTTATTGCTTTTTGTTTGTTTTTTTAGTGAGAAAGCAGGGTTTTTTGAGAGAGAGGACAGAAAAACTCCCAGAGCAAGAGAGGACACAAGGGGGTTGCCAATATACTGTTTTAAAGTTGTGACAATTATTAGAAACTTTGTTGAAGGCAAGCCCATCAGTCAAGTGTTGAATAATAATGAACAAAGAGAGTGTGAGAAGAATGACAGCACTGATCAAACCTTAACATTATAAGCACAAGTGTAAACAATAACACTATGTATAAACACTAGTCTGTGTAACCAGTCAGTTTTGCTATTTCTTTGTAGAATGGGACTTAATAAAAATGATTTATTCAGGGTTAGGTATGGTGTCTCATGCCTTTAATCTCAGCACTTTGGGAGGTTGAAGCAGGAGAATTGTTTGAGCCCAGAAGTTCAAGACCAGCCTGGGCAACATAGTGAAACATCCTTTCTTCTACAAAAATTCAAAAAATTAGCCAGGTATGGTGGTGTGTGCCTGTCCCATCTACTCAGGGGGCTGAGGCAGAAGGATCGCCTTAGCCTAGGATGTAGAAGTGATAGTGAACTGTGATTGTGCCACTGTACTCTGGTTTGGATGAGAGAGTGAAACCCCAACTCAAAAAAAAAGAGGCTTATTCTGCAATAATTCATTTTTTATCAAATGTGAGAGAATCGGGAAGCAAATAACTGAATAGATGTATTTCACAGATTATGAATTCATTCAATCAACAAGTATTTGTGGAATGGCTACTATATTCCAGGCATTGTAATAGGTTACTGGGAATACTTGTATCATCTATCCTTAGTCATTTTTTGATATATTACTAATTTTTCTCTTAAATTAAGCCATTAATTTATAAGGAAAATTAATTTATTCACGTTAATCCTAAATATCCTCTTAAAGAAATATTCTTACTTTTTTCCACTATCACTTGCACATGCAACATTTTCCAAATATCACTTTCACATGCAACATTTTATTTCTCCCTTAACCATTATTATTATTACTAGATAGGCAGGAGTATGTGTAAACTTCTTGAACAGAAGTGCGTCTCCAAAATAACCTTGACTATGGTAGCTTGCAATCACAAAATAATATACTTATTTTTCTTTTCCTCAGGCACCTTTAAAGTTTGTATAAGTGACTGTTTTGAAAAGTTCAACATAATAAAACTTGTATTCAATGGTTCATTCTTCACCTGACCATTAACAGTATATTTTTGCCAATTATCTTGCACTTAAAACTGATGAGCAATAAGTGTTTTTAAAAATCTTTTGTTACTAATTTAAGCTGTTCAATTGTGTTGCTCCTCCTTGGAAGGCTTAATTATTAGGAGTCTATCAATGCAGCTAAAAATGAAAAATACAAGACTGAAAAACTACCCTTGTGTTTATGTTCATATAGAGATTACCTCTTCCTTATATTTTCCTCTGATTTTTACCAATTGAATTTACAGAGGCTTTTTTTTTTAATGTTTAGTAGCATCCAAAACATATATATTTATCTATATTTAAACATTTTATTTTCTCCTTTTCTTAATACTTTCAAAAATGGCAATAATTTAAATACACAGTTGCAAAACTGTACTAAATGCTTATACTCTAATATTCTAGAAGTCTTTTTAGATTCATATTGAATCAAAGCACTTGTTAAAGGTACTTAAAGTTTATCAATTTAAGTGAAAACTGGTGGTGGGTAAAAATAATTAGAGAGTATATAAGATAAATAATTACCAATATAACTATTTTAAATTTTGTTTGGAGTTTCATAGATTTTGTATATTTCAATGATCACAATGATGTAAATAAATAGCATCAGAAAATATGAAAAATTATCTTGTGTTTAGCTTTCCACTTGTTAATTTAAATGTATTCTACATATTGAAAGTGTTCCAAAATTTGTATACATATATCAATATGATGTGCATCTTTGTTTTTCTAGCAGATTTAAGCTTTTACATACTGTAGTTATTTTTCCTCAAATTCATATAATGTGTAAAGTTTTTAAGCAAGGAATGTTTGTCACAGCATTGTTTTCACATATAAAAATATTCAAAACATAAATCAAATTCAATAACAAATTGCTTAGGTAAGTAATAGTTCATCCACACAATGGAATACTATGCAGTCACTAAAATGATGATATAGATCAATATTTATTAGCATGAAATGATTATGGTTCAGTTTAAAATTAAAAAAAATACAAAACTGTTCATATAGTATGGGGTTTTGGTAAAAGTGTGTATACATAGGAAAAAAGATATGGAAGAATATGCACACACTACAAATACTAATAGTGGTTATCTCTTAACTGTGGGAATTTTATTCCCTTCTGCATTGTGTACAGTTTTACAATGAGCATGTATTATGTTTACAAACAATATAAGCAGTTAACAGTTATTTTTATTTTGAAAATGTTTGGTAATGAACATACATGTAATTTGTAGATAAACAATAACATAGAAATTGCTTATTCTCATTATTTTGTGGTCAAAGCGATAATAAAAGTGCTAACAGCTTTATACATGTATATTATATTATGTATAAAAACAAAAATTTGTATATAAAGTAATAAAAACCAACAATAGAGACAGAACATTTTCCTATGGTTGAAACTGTGGTATGAATAAATCATGTTTTTAAAAAGTAATTATTTAAATTTTACATAAATTAGGTATCTCTCTACCTCCAAAATGGACTTGTACTGGTATATATTAAAAGAAAGGCAATACAAAAAATATAAAGATAAGTATAATATGGATGGAAGGCAGAGAGTGAGGAGAAAAGGGACCTGTAGGTGAAATGTTGAAATTCTGTAAACTAGAAATTATAGGTTAATTAATGTGGCTGCAATATTAAATAGAAGATTTTTTTTTCCTGATTTTGCAAGCAGCCAAGACATAAAAAGAACCTCACTGGGTTAACAGTTCTCTTATAATGGGTGGAGGCATAGGACTTAAGAGACAACTTGTTCTTTAACTTTGAAACATCTGTGACTGTTGTCACATGGATACATTCAAGAATTTACAAAAAAAGATAACAAGCTTAACAGATGTTCTTCAAATTAGTTTTTCAACATCATCTATGAAGTATTTACCTTTTATACTGACACTTGATAAAAGCTGAAGGTAAAATATTAAATTATCTGTAGGTAAATGTAATTTAGTGCAGGTATTCATCTTTCTTGTTAATTTAATGTGATCCAAGTATATGTACTAAAGAATTCAGAAAAATGAGTGGTAGAAGTGGTACTTAAAGTGTCCTCAAATAGCAAATCTCTCAGGAAAAAAATTTAAAACATAACCTATAATCTAAATAATCATGGCCTAAAGTATTACTTTTCTAAGGTACTGATTGAGAAAACATCAATATGCTTATTTCTTGGAGCATGAAGTTAACAAAGACCACTCCCAACACTTAGTCAAAGCCACTACTACCAAGTGTATGGCATGTTCATAACACATTTTTAAAAAGAAACAAAGATATAAAAAAAAATAAAGGGAAGAAAAGGAACATATCTTTTTTGAAAAGATTATTCATTTTCAATAATAAGTTAAAGTGAAATTATATACAGATGTTAACTGGATCACATACATTTTCCCCTGCTTTATTCATTTCTCAAAAAGTAAGTTAGAAGTTTTCACTGTAATAGATTCAGAAGTAAGAACCACGTTGAGAATATTTCCATGACAGAGATTAACTTGAGTATTATTGAAATAAGAGGGGACATGTATTCAATCAATTGCTTCACCTTGACTGTTCAGGAAAAAATGTGAACAAATAAACTTTATTCTACATATTCTAAGGGTATTATATCAAAAAATAGTACAAAATGACAATTTTACAATTAGAAATTATGTTCTTCACTAAAATGAACAACGTTTTCTAGTTTCACTTTTTTTTCCCCAAAAGAAAGCATTCACTTAAAAAGACCTGTGAATTGGCATATAATAACCCCTTATCACAAAGGAGCCCAAACTAAGTAGGCACCAACTAAGGCTGAAACAAATCGAGCATTCTTATTCTCACCACCTGCACCTGGCTTGACCCAGGGTGACATGAAGGGGCTTGGAGCCCACTATACGACCATTCATCTCATCTACTGCTTTGGTAGCCTCTTCAAAAGAGGAGAAGCAGACAACACCAAACCCTTTTCCCTGCCCCACTTCCATCATCACTTTGGCCCGGCTAATTGATCCAAAGGAAGAAAATTCCTCCTTCAGTTTTTCATCATTGATGGTCTCATCCAGGTTCTTAATGTAGACAGGTACCACTGGGGGCCGACTTTTTTCTTTTAATCTCAGTCTTTCAAATCTCCGCCTCAACTCAGCCAGGCGTTCAATTTTCTTCTGTGCTCGTCCTACATATAAGACTTTGCCATCAATGGATTTTCCATGCAGGTCTAGCACAGCCTTTTGGGCAGCCTCGTGTGTCTCATATCTCACAAATCCAAAGCCTTTAGATTTCCCACTGGCATCTCTTATTACCTTAACACTCTCCGTTGGCCCATATTCACTGAAAAGTTCCTTCAGTTTTTCGTCATCCATGTCATCCCCAAAGTTTTTAACGAAAACATTGGTGAAAGTTGTTCTATCCCTGGTTCTGACCTCAGCTGCCCGCTCTTCTGGGAATTTGAATCTGCCAACATACACCTGGCGGTTGTTGAGCCGGACTCCATTCATGTGCCAGATGGCCCTATTGGCAGCGGCCAGGCTGTCAAAGTGCACATAGGCATAACCTTTAGAGCCATTGTCATCACATACGACTTTGCAGGACAGAATGTTCCCAAAAGCAGAAAATAAGTAAAACAGGGCCCTATTGTCTATAGATTTATCTAAGTTTTTGATGAATATATTTCCAACTCCAGACTTTCTTAAGCGGTCATCGGGCTGAGACCACATGAGACGGAATGGTTTGCCGTTAATCAAATCAAAATTCATTGTGTTCAGGGCCCACTCAGCATCCGCGGGAAAACGGAAGTTAACATAGCCATAGCCCAGAGGGCTGCGGGTCACCGGGTCACGGCAGATTCGGGTAAAGCGCAAAGGGCCAGCAGGCCTGAACTTCTTATAGAGCATGTCCTCGGTGACATCTGGATCCAAGTCACCCACGTACAGGGCGGCCTTGAGATACTTCTTTTTTTTGCCAGCAGGAATAGGCTCCCCGCTCCCCATTTCTCTGAGCACAGGGAGGAGGTTCTCTTAGGAGAGGGGGGAAAAAAAGGCTGCTTTCTCTAAGCTATGGGCCAAACAGCTGTTCACGAACAGAAAAAGCCAAGGCGAAGGAAAGCTAAAAGCAGACTCAGAATCACTGTCGAGGCTGAGAAAATGAAGTTCAGAAACAGCTGGTCAGCAGACTAAGAACAAATGTATCAGACAAAAAGGCACCCCAAATGCGAATCTATTCTCCCTAAGGGGACTTAAAATTGTCACCCGTTCAGATTTAAAATCAATTTAAAAACCAGTATTAGGAACGACATTTCCCTTTCCCGTGAAATTGTAAGAAATCATCAAGCAGCTGGCTGGCTCCCTGCAACCAGCATTGCCTGCAGAGGCCTCGCGACCCGTTTTCCACATAAATACAGGCCTCGAGCTCCTGTTGGTTTAAAATGGTATCAACAAGGACAGAGACCCAGCGCGTATTCCTCCGCCGGCTGCCGGGCGGTCTCGGGCGGGCTCGCAGCTCTTTAAGGCCGCTTCGCACGCGTCAGCGAAAGGGCATACTAGACACTTGGTGCGCTGGGACCGACAGGCAGGCTGCAGAAAGCGAATCAGACAGACAGACAGACAGACACACGCGGAGGGGACCGGAGACCGCCCAGATACCCAAGATGCCCACTGGGTACGGACCGAGTGAGGCGCGGTGATTTCGGAAGCCTGAGGCTCGCAGCAGGTCCGGAGGGACTGAGTGGCAGACGCGCAGTGGGTCAGCTCAGACGCGAGGCGGGTCCGGACAGATGCGGGGCGGAGTCAGCAGAGAAGGGCAGATGCGCAGCGGGCGGGCCCAGCTGGGACTGATGGACGGGTTCTGCTCTCCGCAGGACAGACCTACCGACGGACCAAGAACATGTAGCTGTGGTAGGCAGGGCGGGCGGGGCGCGAGAAACCCGGAACCAAGCTAAGTAACTTCCCGCTTGCT